TGCTTGTGCTTTTGATGTATCTAAGAATCCACTGCCAAATCCAAGGTCATGACAATTTTTATAGTTTTATATTTTAGCTCTCACCTTTAGATCTTTGATCCGTTTTGAGTTAATGTTTTTTATGACGTGAGGTAGGGCTCCAATGTCATTCTTTTTCATGTGGCTATTCAGTTGTCCCAGAACCATTTGTTGAAGGGACTATTCTTTCCCCATTGAATGGTCTTGTCACACCTGATGAAAATCTATTGGCTATTGATATATAGATTTATTTTTGGATTCTCGATTCTACTTCATTGATCTCTATGTATATTGTTAGGCAGGCTAGTATTTTTAAAATGTAAATCCAATCATGTCACATCCTTACTTAAAACCCCCCAATGGATTTGTCCTGTACTTAGAATAAAATCCAAACTCCAAGCCTACATTACAGAACCCTAGATGTCTGGCCCTGCCTATCTCTGCTTCAGCCCCAATGGATCCATTTCTGAGTCTGTAAACTTGTCAAGTTTGTGTTTTCCTTCACCACTTTGCACTACTGTTTCCTCTGTTGAGAATCCTCTTCTGCCTGATTTCCACATGGCTCGTTTCTTCCTGTCATTCAGATTGTTGCTTAAATGTCTCCTGTTCAGGTAGCCTTCTTCAGATACCACTTCTCGCCCACTGAAGTGGCAGCCCAGTCACTCTAACACATTATTCTATTTTATTGTCCTTAATAGTATTCACTACTTTATGGTATTTGTATTTGTTTAATGCATTTATTACTATCTCCCTTTGCTACATTGTAAGTCCCTCGAGAGCAGGAACCTTGTCTGCAGCGCTCACCTCTGTGTCCCCTACATCCAACAGAGCGCCTGGTTCATAGTAGCTACTCAAGAAAATCAGTAACACGAATCTGTTGAAATGAAAGCTGCCACATCTCTGACAGTATTCCGATGAAAGGAAGCTGTTTACAGCTCAATCCTATGTTCCCTTTCTTTCATTATGACCATAGACGGTGGAAACATCTCCAATTTTGTATTTTTTGAAAGATCAAGCAGAAGACAGAATTTATCATCCGGAAGCTGTTGTCAGCTCAAACAATGCTCTGAATATTTCCCTTCTCAGAGAGGTTTGGTGTCTTATTAAAGAGTTTTGGAGGAACAGGAGACTCTTTGAACATTTTTTTTCTTGACAACTGGCTTATCCCATTCTTGCCCCTGGCACACTGGCTTTTTTAAAAAAAATAAACAAAAAAAAACCTGACCTGAACCTGGGTGCTTTGGGCATCCTGGTGCTGAGTCACCAGCTCTTTTCAGTCCATCTCAGGCCTCCTTAAGGAGGTTCTGGCTTCATGGACCATCCAGACAGTTCTGTGCAAAGAAGCTGTGCACCCACACGTTCATCCAGTGAACAGTCTGAAAATTGAATAAACAGTGAGTCCCACCGGTAAATGCTAACAGCTTCCAAACCACAGAGAGATTTCCTACCTGAGGCTTAAACTGGAAGTCAGACCCGTCTGATGAAACTCTAGGCTCAGCCTCCACAATTCCATCTGCATGTTTTTAAGGACACACTGAAGAGGGACTAAAGGGTGCCAGTGTGCTCGTGTTTGGGGGAGAAACTGCATGGAAGGGTGAACGGCATGGTTCTGTACTGTATAGTGGTCTCCAGTGGGGCAACATGTGCTCATGTAAGATGCAGAGGCTAAAGGGGGACCTGAGATACTGGGGGTGCAGGCACAGCTGCTGTGGGCTCAGGTGACAGAGGGTGTCTATTCCCCATCATGGCCTGGAGCCAGGTTCAATGAGGATCTCAGGGAATGCCAACAAGGGGGTGGCTTTAGCATAGCTCCTCTGCACACGTATGATGACATGTCCACATGGTGGCAAGCAATAGCAGCAGATGTCCCCCTCAAAAGGATCTGAGAGCAGCAGAGAGAAATGAAGGCGGTCTGAGCAGATACACATACTGGACACACTCCGAAAACTCCAGAAATAACCGAGTGAGATGGGCAGTGAGTGTGCCAGTGAAGAGAGGACTCTTAGTATTCAGACGGGCACATGAATCATCAGAATCTGATGTTACTACTCTCAGGCTAGAGAGGTCGGGGGAAACTTGGCTTAGAGAAAGTATGTAGATCCTTTAATTACCAAAACAAGAATTCAATCTGAAAAGCATTACTGAATTAATAATGACTCTGTCGTTATGCCTTTTCAAAGTAAAGTGATACTAAAAGGATAATTACAATTGTGTGGGCTATGATGCACAGTTTCTGTCTGTGGCTCCATCCTTCTCCACTCAGCTCTGTGCCCTGGAAAGCTGACGTACCCGGATAATGCCAACGGGCTCCTTACCCTCTGGCTGTCAGTTGGTTTTCACCAATGGGAGGCACCAGTAGATGACAAAATGGAGGAAAGTGAGGTCTGGGTTTTTATCTCCCCAGCCCCCCACCACTGCTGGGTGACCATGGGTTGAAGCATTCCCTCTGTTAAGTGCTCCTCCCATTGCCCCCTCAGGGATCGGAACAGCTCCATGTTCCTTGCTAGCCCTGGGGTTAGCACCACCCTCAGTTGTTTTCCTAAACCTTGCCCACCGTAAAAGTTGTTATTCCAAAACCCACTTTCGTGCAGTCAATTCCGGCTCATAGCGACCCTATAGGACAGAGAACTGCTCCATAGGGTTTCCAAGGTTGTAAATCTTTATGGAAGCAGACTGTCACATTTTTCTTCTGTGGAGCGGCTGGTAGGTTGGAATCACCAACCTTCAGTTATCAGGTGAGTGTTTTAACAACTGCGCCACCAGGGATCCTTAAAGTTATTCTTAACTCTTCTCAACTACCCAGTTTGGGTGTAGTATCTATGTATTATAAACGGGACCTCTTTCTCAAAACTGTGGGGAGCCACTACATATCTAGTGGGAAAACTCTGCTTTTATTTTCAAGCATTAAAACGGATACCCTAATAACTGCCTTTCTATTTTCAATATTTTATTCAAGAGAGCACTAGGGTCTTCCTTACTTTAAAAAAAAAAAATTACGTTTTTATGTGAGATGACCGGAGGCAGCTGTAGGTTGACATCAATGACAGGGTATTATGGTGGTATTACCAAGCATTACGAAATCTGCTTCCCAACCCTTTCTTTTTAATCTATATTGTACTTTAGATGCAGGTTTACAGAACAAACTAGTTTCTCATTAAACAGTACACATATTGTTTTATGACATTGGCTAACAACCCCATGACATATCAACACTATCTCTTCTAGACCTTGGGGTCCCTAGTACCAGCTTTCCTGTCCCCTCCTGCCTTCTAGTCCTTGTCCCTGGGCTGTTGTGCCCCTTTAGTCTCATTTTGTTTTATGGGCCTGTGTAATCTTTGGATGAAGGGTGAACCTCGGGAGTGACTTCATTACTGAGCTAAAATGGTATCTGTGGGCCATACTCTAGGGGTTTCTCCAGTCTCCGTCAGGCCAGTAAGCCTGGTCTTTTTTTATGAGTTAGAATTTTGTTCTGCATTTTTCTCCAGCTCTGTCCAGGACCCTCTGTTGTGATCCCCGTCAGAGCAGTCAGTGATGGCAGCTGGGCACCATCTAGTTGTACTGGACTCAGTCTGGTGGAGGCCGTGGTAGATGTGGTAGATTAGTCCTTTGGACTAATCTTTCCCTTGTGTCTTTAGTTTTCTTCATTCTCCCTTGCTCCCGAAGGGGTGAGACCAGTGGAGTATGTTAGATGGCTGCTCACAGGCTTTTAAGACCCTAGATGCTACTCACCAAGGTAGAATGCAGAGCATTTTATTTATAAACTATGTTATGCCAGTTGAGCTAGATGTTCCCTGAGATTATGGCCCCCACAGCCCTCAGCCCAGCAATTTGGTCCCTCAGGGAGTTTGGATGTGTCTATGGAGCTTCCATGACCTTGCCTTGTACAGCCAACCCTTCTTCTTATTGTCTGACTTAAAGCTTCTAAATGGGGAAGGCTTACCTATTCAGGCCCCAAATATCCTTCCTCCAGCCACCTCCACTCCTAGAGGACTTTCTGGCTCCTGCCCATGTGTAAGCACCCTCTCAAGCTGCCTTGTAGTTCAGCCACCATCATCATGGGCTACTCTTTCCTCAGATGAAGCTCAACTCCCTGCCTCTGTCCTGACTGAACCTACTTGTGGGCACATTCTTGAGATACTCCAAATTAAAATTCTCATCTGGCTCAAAATCCTCCCTACCTCTTAGATCTGAGAACAGAAATGAAATGACTGACTGATACAATTCAAGACACTTTTGTACGCCCACCATATACACCTCCACCCTTCCTTGTGTGGGTAGGCGGAGCGTGGGTATAGGAATAGATAAACACCTCCCTATTCTTCACCCGGTCACAGACGTGCCAGGCGCCCAAGAAACGTGATAACGCCTACTGCATGTGACTTTGACACATGCGGCTCTTAATAGGAGTTAGCTCCCTTTCTCAAGCTTCTTTTCTCTTCATAGTTCTTGGTTAATTGTAAGCAGTTACATTTGTAGAGTCTCTCGACACGTGTCTCTAATTCTCATAACCGCCGTACTAGCGAGGTAGTTTCCACCAGCCTAGCCCAAAGCCACACAGCTAGTCAGCTGCCTAGACGATATTCCCACCAGAGCTGCAGATAAGGAAGGTTTGGCTCCCTTCTTCCTCTAGCCACGCAGCATCACTGCCGGTTCCAAACACGCCGACAAACCGGCGCATGCGCTATCCGGCTTCACTAACGGAAGCCCGAGTCTGTGTCACTGTTGGGGGCGGTGTTACGGCGGACCGGAGGGCGCATGCGCCTCGGCGATCGCAAATGGGCTCCTCGGCGGCCGGTGGCAGCGACGTTTCAGTTTCCGTAGGGGCCGCGCGGCTGTGAGGTGAGTGTTCGCGCGGCCCGACTGAAATATCGAGCGGGCGGTGTCTGGGCCCCTGCTTGGTCTCCCGGGCGGCCGCAGACCCCGTCCCGAGCCCCTAGGCTCTGACCACCGGAACGTAGCCGATCCGCGCGGACGATTGGGAGCGGCCCTTGGGCGGCGGGTGCCTTCCGCTTGGCTCACCTGCGGCAGGAAGTGACGTCGCCACGCGCGCTCTCACTTGGGGCGGCTGGGGTCCGGCGGTGCGGCGACTTGGCAGGCCCGACGTTTCTTCCCCTCGCATCAGCTTCTCCGCTTTCGTGTCGGGCCTTCGGGCGCAGGATCAGCTCAGGTCTGTTTGATCTCGATTGGAGTACTGGAGTTAGTTGTTATTTGAAAGAGAGAATCGGGGTAAATATGTGTCAGTCGAGTAGCACGTGAGGGAGGATCGAGCCATTCACGAGCTGGAGCTCTCTCGCCCTGTTCCGAGGCGCTGTCACTTCTCACCCGAGTGTCCAGCATCATCTCCTGAATACATAGTTTCCTCCAGTCCATTCTCCGTACAGTAGCCTAGCCGATCTTGTACAACACAAATTGATCATGCCATCATCACCGTGCTTAAAACTCTCCAGAGTCACTCCATTGCGCTTGCAGTAAAATTGAAGCTCATGTTTTGCCAGGCCCTGTGCCATCTGGCCCTTGTCTACCGCTCCATCTGCACCATCTCCCCCCGCCCCCCAGAACTGTGCGCTTATACAACCAAGCCTTCCTCGCCGGGATCCAGCTTGCCCCTGGCCACAGACGCCCTAGTGCTCAAGGGAGAGCATAAGGAAGACTGTTGTTTGCTCTGATGATTAAGCTTAGCAGACCATTAAAAGATATTCTGTAAGGTTTACACAATGAATGGAGTCCTTGTTAGCTCTTTTTAACTCGCAGTTACTCATGTAAAATAAAGTAAAAACAAATTCTCAGTGTGTTTCAGCCTTCTTCCATTTTCCCAAATGCACCATCTCTTTTCTAGTCTTACGAACTGCACATGTTGTTTCTTTGCTCTAAGATGCTCACACCACTTTTGGGCTGATTAACTCCTGTTCATCCTTCAGATACTGGCTTAGATGTCACTTTATCAGAGAGAGGCCTCCATGACCTCACACCTGCCTCCATGATGATGTGTAAACAATCTTGTACTTTCCTCTTAGCAGTTACATTTACATATGTATACATGTGACATTTTTAATGTGTGTCTTCCCCAAGAGACTCTAAGCTCTGTGGGCCAGAAACTAGTTAACCTAGTACATTAAAATCAAAACCAAACCGATTGCTGTCGAGTCGATCCTGACTCGTAGCGACCCTGTAGGATAGGGTAGAACTGCCGCATAGGGTTTCCAAGGACTGGCTGGATTCAAACTGCCGACCTTTTGGTTAGCAGCCATAGCTCACTGTGGCTTTTTACCACTGTGCCACCAGGGCTAAACCTAGGACATTGCCTGGTGTAATTTATTTTCAATAAATATTTGTTGACTGGATGATTTATCTCACTTCTGAAACTCTTACTTTACCTTCTGATGACAGCCTCCTGGTTCCCACTTCTTACCCCCAGGATACTGGCCCTTCAGGCCACAGCCCGACTTCCGATGTCTTGACCTCTTTATTTCTCCCAGGTCCAGGCCCCTTCTGGCTTCTTCCTCCTTTTTTTTTTTTTTTGTTAACCTATCCAGCTTGGATCCAAAGGTCAGTTACTTCAACTGCTTTTCTCGGCATCTTCAACCCCATGGCCCTTTTGTCTTCTGCCACTTCTAATCTGAAAAACCCCAAGTAACATTTACTCCAAGACTGCTAATTACTGAAGGAGGAAATTGTACATACTTGGTAATTGCACACCTCTCACCCGTTTGTTCTTCATCAGCTCGCTTTTCCCTTCTACGTGACATTTGTTCCGAACTGTTACTCTTCTCTAGCCCCCATCCCAGCTTGGTCCCCTGACTCAGCAAATGCCCAAACTTCCTCCCTTATAGGATATTTTCTGTATGGTCCACTTCAGCTTCTTCCCTTCCCACCCACAGATTTAGGCATATCCAGAGTCCTCCTGCCAGAGTCAGAGAAACGTGCGATATGCCTTCTACTCTGTATCTTTCCTAGCTCCTGACTCTTCTTGTACAACTTCTGTATATTATCTCCCGATTTCTCTTCCAGTTACTACATTCTCTAGTTTTTGTGGTCCTAACTTCCTTCTCTTGTGCCAACTCGTTATTACCATATCATTCTAGCTGTCTCTCATCCACAGCCAAGCTTCCATTTCCTCATCTCCTACTCATGTCTTAATCCACTACACTCTGGGTTTTGTCCCTTTTGCTCCACTGAAGCTTTTGCTACTAAGATAACCAGTGACCTGCTAGTTTCCAATCCACTGGACCCTTTCTGGCTTCCTATGGTACCTTGCCAAATTATTTTCCTGTTTTCACCATTCCCTCTGGCTCCTCTTTTATTGTTAGAAGTTTTCCCCAAACTTCCTTATTTTTAACCTTGCCTTTGTACTACAGTACTATTACTTAATATTTTTGGTTGAATTGATAGTTTTTTTTTTTTTAACTTTAAAAGGAATCCTTTTTCACATACAAATATGAAAAATGAAAACAGGATTTTTAAATTCAGCTAGGTATGAAGGCATTAGTGGTTCAGTGGTGGAATTCCCGCCTTCCACGCGGCAGACCGAGGTTCAGTTCCCAGCCAGTCCCCCTCATACATGGCCACCACCTGTTTGTAAGTGGAGGCTTGCATGCTGCTATTATGCTGAACAGTTTTCAATGGAGTTTACAGACTAAGACCAGGAGGAAAGGTCTGGTAATCTTCTGAAAATCAATTAGTGAAAACCCTGTGGATCACAATGGTCTGACCCGTAACCTATTATGGGGATGGCACAGGACCAGGCGGCATTTTGTTCACTTGTCCATGGGGTGCCCACGAGTCGGGGACAGCTCAACAGCAGCCAGCAACAAGAACGGGAAGGATCTGAGCCAGAATCCTGCCCCCCTGTTGAAAACGTAGACTAGCTAATGATAGAACACCAGGCTAATTGTTTTTCCTGGAAATAGCGCAAAGGACTAACAAGGCGTGACTTTCTCAAGCGGTGCTCACTTCCAGCCTTTTCAGTGTCAGCCTCGTCTTGCCATCTGAAATGACCCCCAGTGCCTGTCATAGCCCCGGGCAGGCCTGCGGCTGCTCACTCTGCAAAGGACGCCCAAGTCGAGTCCGCACCTTTCTCCAGACTTCCAGATTCGCATTTCTTTTTTTTTTTTTTTTAAAGCAAAAAGAAACTTTTATTCAGCATATATTCAGAGAGGCAAAAGTAGGAAATCAGACAAGTATGCTGCCACAGCCATGTCTGCCCGAGTCCAAGGAACTTTACAGAGTCATCAGCATATGTTAACATTACAAATGGGCAAAACCATTGAAAGCTTCACCTTTTCACATATTGGCTAGAAACTGTGATCCTACATTTTGAGTTGCCTTCCTTAGCAATCATTGGTAAAGGTTTCTGTCAGTAGTTAAATGAAAAGCAAGGCTGTCTCTTGATTACTAGGTTGCTTTTTAATGTATTTATTAGATAGTATAGTTATACAGGAGCCCTGGTGGTGCCGTGGTTAAGAGCTATGGTAAGCTATGGCTGGCTGCTAACCAAAAGGTCGGCAGTTTGAATCCACCAGCTGTTCCTTGGAAACTCTATGGGGCAGTTCTGAGCTGTCCTATAGGGTCACTATGAATTGGAATCGACTCGATGGCAACAGGTTTGGGTTCGGGTTTTTTACGGTTCAACAGGTTATGTAGCAGACACGTTCCCGTTTCAGCAATCACTGCATGTGGGGTAAAACGGGAACATTTTCGTGTATTCCTGCCTGTTCCTTCAGCACCCATCCGTACCACCAGCTGCCGCAGGTTCAGTGTGTATCTTTCCAGATCTTTTTCATACACACAGCTGCAGGTATAACATTTTTTTCAACGTAAATGATTCCATACTGTGTGACTTTTCATTTAACATGGCTTTTATGTCAGTACCATTGGAACACCGAAATGGCCCCATTAAACTATTAAAAACATGCAGAGTAAGCATTCTTGGACAATATGTGTGAGTATTTCTTTGGAATAAATACCTGGAATTGGAATTTGGAGTGCAAAGGTTATGTGCATTTAAAATTTTGATAAATATTGCTAAATTGCCCTCCAAAATGGTTTTACTAATTTACATTCCCGCCAGCAGTCTGTGTGGGGGAACCCTCCTCCTGCTCAATACTGGATATTATCAGACTTTACATTCTTGCCAGACTGATGGGTAAGAAACGATATTGTGTATTGAAGTACAGTTATTTTTGAGAATATTTTAATCTTTATCAGATTCTGATTTGGGTAGTGTGATTATTTCTTGTTTACGTTTTCTGTTTATTTGAGTAGATGTTCAACCAGAAAGTTTCTAATGTCAGATTCGTACAGAAGGTCTTTACCTACATTACTAAATCTGTACGTTACAGCTGATCATGCCACTATAATATAAATCATTTGTGCCATAACACAATGAAGTTGCTAAGTTGACAGACAGCGGCCAGATGTCTTCGGCTCTTCTGGAGACTCTGGGTGTCATTCAGGATTCTGGTTGCTGGCTTTGTTAGCTGGCTACCTACATGTCCTTTGTTGATGCTATGTTTCTCTTCTTTTTTTTTGTTGTTAATTTTTCTTATTTATTATCAGAACTTAAGAAGATATATAGTTTGTGCCCTTGTAAGAAAATTAACATGTAGAAACTTGATTTTATGTAATTGAAGGGTTATTACTTGATCTTTTGAGAAATCAGTTTGTTTTAGTTATGAAATAGTTAAACTATATAAACATCAATTCTGTATAACCAAAAGGGTTATCAGGTTTTTTTTTGTTTTCCTTTTAGATAGTCTGGAGAATGCCAAATGAGAGAATCCCCCACCCAGGTCAAACTCAGGAGCAAGACTGTTTACAAAGTCAGTATGTCGGTGATGATGAAGAAATGGCAGTCAAGCAAGAAAATGGTGTGCCAGCCGCGGGGGTGGAGGAAAGCCTCCCCTCTTGTTCCTCTGATAATGGGCTGTCTGCTTCGGCTGAGGGGTGTGCCTTGGGAGTTCCAAGGAGAGGGCCGGCCCTGCTGCAGATCGACAGGCATCAGATCCAGGCTGTGGAGCAGAGTGCTCAGGCCCTTGAACTGCAGGGTCTGGGTGTGGACGTCTATGACCAGGATGTGCTGGAGCAGGGTGTGCTTCAGCAGGTGGATGACGCCATCCATGAAGCTCGCCGTGTGGCCCAGCTTGCTGACACAGAGAAAGAGTACCAGTCAGTCCTGGATGACCTCACGTGAGTGTGTACCAGCATCTCTCTTTCATAGTCTGTGAGAAACTTAGATAGTAGAAGGATGTGGTATTCTAGAAATTCAGGAGATTTATAAAACTTCGTATTGAGGGGATAAAAGTCAGTAAAGGCAGTCATCAACCTTCATGTTTGAACACCAGCCCTTTCTCTCAGGAGCAAGATTGTACACAGTAGTTAGGTCTCAGGGGAGCTCACAAAAGCCTGTTTCACCCATAGTGTCCTGAAGAAAAGTGCTGTTCTAAGATTTCCCTAGAACTTACCAGCATGTGTTAACATAGTTCTCAAGAGAAGTGCATTTAAAGTTCTGATGTGTCCTACTCAGGATACCAGGAGCACAGTCCCTGCCCTCAGATTATTCTCTGTCCTGTAATTTCTTTTCAGCCTCCTGTTCCTAAACTGAATGTTCAGTCCTTTGACAATTTTTCATATTTGAACTTGTAGGAATAAACAGAGATAGCTGGAAGAAAGGACTCCCGCCTTTTCCTTTCTTTCCCCGTTTTTGCCTCTGTAAGTAAAGATGAAGTTCCCGGGAGATGGTTAAGGCGGAAGTCAGACTATTTGTGATTTAGAGGAGAAATGACTTGGGCTCTGTTTAGCATAACATACTGGTGGGGATGGGGAGAAGCTCTGGACCTGGGCTAAAGTGGGGGTGAGGAAAGGAGAGGATTGAGTGTGTCTGTGTGTCAGCCACCCACATCCCTCTCTCACTCACCAGTTCCAAAGACAGTTCTGTGATGGGCTCCTAACAGTTCCCTGACGGGTTCTCTTGGACTCTTGAGTAGCAGGTGTCCTTGCGTAGGTGCAGTCTGTCCTTCAGGTGTGTTCAGGGCCTCTCGTCCGTGTAATGTGCCCACTTCCTGCAGAGGTGACAGATAGGAGGGTGCTGCAGTGTCACAAGAGCAGGTAGCATTAGACGGATGGTTACACGTGGTGCCTTAGACAACCAGTGACTTTCTTAGAAAACAAATTTTATTCTGAAATTCACAAACAGGATACAAACAGCAAATTACACAAGTGTCAGGAAGATTGAATTTGTATTTTAAAAATTGGAAGCTACAATTCTGTGTCTGTTTTAGGAGTAATTTATCATAAATTGATTTTTTCCCTTTTCACCACAAAGTATAACGCTAGTCAGTAACTCTTCCAGTTGTGTGAAAGAAAAATATGGTCCCACATATCTAATTTATGTAAGTAAATGTTTAAACATTTTTAGGACTTCTTCAAGCTTTGGGAGGCTTCCGTAATGGGCTTTAAAAAACCCAGGCATGCGTTTCTTCATATCAAAGGACAGTTTACTACGCATTGTCCTAGCACAGTGTCTTGAATACATTCAGCACTTAAAAAAATGTTGACTGAATGAATCAGCTTACAAATGGGAACGAGCTGATTTCAATCAGCCATGTAAATGAAAAACACTAGTAGTCAGTCTTCAACCTCTGACGACCCTTCAAGTTATATTTGTAGCCAACAGGAATATTCATTCTGGTTGAGTTTTTCGTATCTTTTAGTTAATAAGAAGGAAAAGTTTTTTATATTTTTAGCATTTGTTTCTTTGTATTATACTATAAAAATGTTACCAGAATGGGAACTAGACAGTTTATCTTATTTTTCAGGTCATGTACGACATCCCTCAGGCAAATCAATAAAATTATTGAACAGCTTAGCCCTCAAGCTCCCACCAACAGAGACATCAACAGGAAACTAGATTCTGTAAAACGACAGAAGTACAATAAGGTGATTCAAAATAACATATTAAGTTTTGCATTTTTTGAAAAAGTCATCATTTAGACTCATTTAATAATTTAGTATTTTGAAAGTACTTATATGATGTGAAGGAAATATTTATAATTGCAATAGAGAAATGTAGAATTGCTTTTGTACGTTTAATTTTTTATCTGTTTCCCTTTCACATGCTCTGTTACACAACTTTAAAAAAAAAATACACACACACGCCCACCCCTGTGTGAAAACGAGTTCTGTTTTGGCTTTGCTTTCCTCCTCACTCACGTGCACTTTCACAGGCTTCCTTGCTTCACCCAGTTTCCCTCACACAGCTCAGGCTCCTGCTGGATGTGCTGGCCTCTGACTCAGTCTCCTTGTTTTGTATGAACTTGCTTTTTTCCTGCTCAGCTCCTGTTCATGCTGATTATCTACACTCTGCTTCCCATTGATACAACCCTTGCCCCTCCCACACTCGTGGTCACTGGTCGTAGGGGCTAGCCCCCTCAGGGATCACGACCTTAGGTCTTATAGTCTTCATGGCACAGCCACCGTGGGACTGCACTTAGGGTTGTAGAACTTAAGGGTAGGGAACATGTGTGACTTAGGCCATTGTTTTTATGAGGTCTGAAACTTTTTTTAAGGAATCATATATAGTTTTGTGAATTTGAAGCATATTTTAGGGTTTATGTATAGCTTTGTGAGGTTTGAAGCATATTTCAGGATTTATGCAGCACTTTATGAAAGTACATTGTAGATAGGAATGACTAGTTTTGATCATTTCGGTTCTGCCATCCAGAATGACTAACACATGTCCTTGGCTTGCAGTAGGTTCATTGCAGCAAGTGGAGTCCTTGAATCTTTCATTTACGTTCTAGTAGTGAGGGTGTATATACACCTTCTCCTCACTTATCGACTATCTCATTATCCGACATTGCGCATTTATGACAATAGTAAAAAAATCTACTGTCTGACTATTTTGCGCATTAATGGCATATGTCTGGCAGTAACAAATGCCAAGGTGCGAGGCGAGAGTAATTCTGGCTTTGTTGGTTAAAGTTATGTGTCAGCTTGGCTGGGTCTTGATTCTCAGTGGTTTGGCAGTTATGCAGTGATGTGATTTGGCAGTTATGTAATGATGTAGTCGTCCTACATTTTGTGATCTGATGTAATCATCCTCCATTTTTGCATAATGCTGATTTCACATTAACGACCTGGTCTTTGGAACCTAACCATGTTGGTAAGTGAGGAGAGGGTGTATAGACTTGGTCTGTGTTGCTCTCCTTTTGCTTTCCACACACCAGTCCATTATCGTCACTGCGCCACCGTCTTCTGCTCAGTCAGCTCCACGTAGCAGCCCAAAGGTTAGAGGTGATTTTGTCCCCTCCCAGAGTCAGAGAGGGATCATCTGGCTTGTGTGGGAGCCTGTGAATTATGTGTAGAGACCTTCTCTGACCTTCTGGGGCTTCTGGTGGGCTGGGATTTCAAGGGATGGAGAAGGCCAGATTTTAGACCAGTTAGGTACTAGTCTAACATAATTATATATTTCTATTTTTCTTTAGCAACTCTTTTATGTTTAGAGATAGACTAAAGGGAAAGACTAAAGGGAAAGGCTGAGAGAGAAAGATTGCAAGGGAAAGTGAATTGCCAGTTATTGCAATGTAATGTTCATATTCAGGATTTCCCCTCTCCCCATGCTCCTGTTTGTAGTTTAGACATTCTTGACCTTGGGAAGAAGACCGTGTACCACAGGCTCAGTTAACGGGGGAGGCTCTAGGAGTGGCTACACACCCATGACGGGGTAAAATATATTTTTCTTTTTAAATTTTGTGACAGAGTTGAATACTATCAAGGAAAATATAAATATGGTAGTTATCAAAGGGGGCTGCCTTTTTAGATCGTGTGAACATTTGTGCTTGTTTCTTATCCCCACAGTCTGTTGGCCTCATAGCCCATTAACTGCTAAGATCAGAGACAGAGGCATTTTGTAGTTTACCCAGTGTGTTCCTGGGAAAAACAAAGCAGGACAATTTCACCTCCTGAGTCAGTGGAGAGTCAGTACATTTGTAACTAAGTGTTTGAGTGCGTGTAAAGCTATGAGTTGCTTCGGTCAGGAGAAGTGTGGGGACAGTGGGCCTGCCTGATGGGAATGCCTTGAGACCTTGTTGCTGCTAGGAAAGTGGTAGTTACTCTAACAAGGCTCTGTATAGTGTGGTAATATATGAAATTTCTGTTTTATTTCTGTGTTACTCTTGATTAAAGTGTTTAAGTTTCTAATGCTGTCTTTTGTATTTAGCAGTAACTTCATTGCTGTTTTGTATATTTGGTATTTGCCATTTAAGGAACAACAGCTAAAGAAGATCACAGCAAAACAAAAACGTCTTCAGGCCATCCTTGGAGGAGCAGAGGTGAAAGTTGAAATAGATTCTGCCAGTTTGGAGGAGGATGCAGGTGAGGATTCTGTGAACCATTTCTCTGTGTTCTTGAATTGATGCTGGATGCCTCTACCCAGTGGAGGGTATCTGTTCAGTCTTTGCTGGGTTTTGAGGAAAATACATTTCTTTGCCTTTACTGTCAAAATGGGTTTAGGAAAATTTCATTCTCCACACCTGTAGAACCAAATCTCTTAAGTCATATGGGGTTTTTAGAGAATGAAAGTAAATTTTTAACTTAATTTACTAGAGGCTGCTGGTGTACGTTTAGTATTGTGTTTAATAAATTGGAAATCTTAACAAGTTTTATGCAGTTAATTTGATAAAGACAACTAACATTACATATTGTAAGCATCTTCATGCAGGTTATACCATGGCCATACCATCTGCCTATACCACTCCGTTGAATGGTCATCTTTTGAAAAACCTTTTGGAAAAATAGCAGGCTCCGGAACTAAGTATCTGTGTTGTCATTTTGTGTGTGTGTGTGTGTGTGTGTGTGTGTGTGTGTAGACAGAATAGAGATTATTTGTAGCTGCTTAGTCATTTACTGCTTGAAATACATATTAAGGCTTCTTAGTATTTAAGACCTTCAAGCAAATATTTTCTACTAGTTCCAGAAGTTTATTACAGTAAGACGAGAATTATGAAGAATTCATTGAGGCAATAGAAAGAATATTAGAGAGACGTGCTTTTAAAGTTCAGTGTCAGAATTCGTGAGGCCTATAACCAGTGCCTTCTGCTGCTGAGTACTGTTTTTCTTATTGGGAACAGTTTTGTTTCCAATCTAGCTGTCTGAAAGCTACTGTCTTTCACCTCATATTGCCACTTTAGTCCAGCTTTGCCTAGGGTTAATAGTTACCTCCCCAAATCCAAACTCCCCTTTCACCCTTGCTCCCCTTGGCCTTTCTGCAGCACGTGACACTTCCTGTGCCCTTTGGAGTCCCTCTGTCCTCTGATTTTCCTTTCAGTCTTCTGACTGCTTCTGTTGAGTTATTTTTGGCCAGCTGTTCTGGCTTTATCATCACTTTTGATGTTTGTCAGGATTTCTTGCAGAGCCCTCTTCTTGGTCCTCTCCCCGAATAATCTCATCTATTCACCGTGGCTTCTGTAGTCCCAGTGTTCTAGTATCTAACAAATCTGCAGACCTCTGGCCTTGACCTTTGAGCTCCTGCTTGCTAATATAGCTCTTCATCTGGGCACCAGCAAACCCTTCAGACTCATGGCCTTTCTTGGCCTCCCCCCACCGCCCCGGTGCCTTCTCTCCTTCCTTGGTGCCCTATGCCCTGTCTGGGGAGGCTGTAGAACCTAGTGTGTAAGAGCCTAGGCTTTGTGTGCTCAGCTGTGCTTTTCCTAGGTATGGCCCTTGGCTTTGTTCCTTAAGCTTGCTAAGTCTGTTTTGTACCCATGAAATAGGCGTAAGTATAGTTGACCTTCACTTCTCTGCTCACATGCTTCCCTGAGGTTTCCTTTACCCTCTTCTCTACATGATGATCCTTTGCAGGAGTTTGTTGTGAGGAATACCTGACAAGGAATCCTTTCCTGGAATTAGATCCAATGAAGAAAAGTTGAAACAAAAACAAGAAACCTTGTAAAAATTGGCTTTGCCATCTGTGACCTGGGATGAGACGGGTCTGGGATGAGACAAGGGTGCTTGCTGTCACCCTTCCTGTTCAGCATTTTACTAGATGTTCTTAACCAGTGTAGTAATGGAAGAAAAAGAAATAAAAAGCATATGGATTGAAAAAGAAGAAATAAAACCCTCAGTATTTACAGTCTACATGATTGTTTATGTAGAAAATCCAAAAGAATCAACTAACTATTGGAGCTAATACAGGAATTTAGCAATATCATTGAATACAAGGTCAATATATAAAAATCAATTGTATTTCTATATACCAACAAAAAGAAAAAATAAAATTTAATAAAGATGCCAAATACAATAAAAATAAAATACCTAGAAAGAGGTCTTAACAAAAAATATAGTTTTCTGCAATGTTTTTTGCATTGAAAACTACAAAATGTCAGTGAGAAATTAAAGACCTAAATAAATGGAGAGGCACATTATGGTCATGGATTGGAAGACACAATATTGTAAAGATGTCAGTTCTTCTATCAATCTACGGTTTCAGTGCAACCCCGATAAAAATTTAGAAGAACTTGCACCAGTACTACTCAAACTATTTCAGAACATAGAAAAGGAAGTGACACTTCTAGATTCATTCTTTGAAGCCAGCATAACCCTGATGCCAAAACCAGGCAAAGACACCACAAAAGAATAAAATTACAGACCAGTATCTCTCATGAATGTAGATGCAGAAATTCTCAACAAAATTCTAGCCAATAGGGTTCAACATATCAAAAAAATAATATACCATGACCAAGTAGGATTCATACCAGGTATGCAAGGATGGTTCAACATTAGAAAATCAATCAACGTGATCCACCACATAAATAAAAGGAAAGATTCACATGATCATCTCAGTTGACGCAAAAAAGGCATTTGACAAAGTCCAACACCCATTCCTGATAAAAACTCGCAATAAAATAGGCACAGAAGGGAAATTTCTCACCATAATAAAGAGCATCTATGCAAAACCAACAGCCAGCATCATTCTTGATGAAGAGAGGCTGGAAACATTCCCCCTGAGAGCAGGAACAAGACAAGGATGCCCATTATCACCACTCCTATTTAACATTGTGCTGGAAGTCCTAGCTAGAGCAGTAAGGCAAGAAAAAGAAATAAAGGGCATCCAAACTGGTGATGAAGAAGTGAAACTGTCCCTATTTGCGGATGATATGGTAGTATACATAGAAAACTCTAAAGACTCCATGAGAAAACTACTGGAACTAATAGACTCAGCAGAGTAGCGGGATACAAGATAAACATACAAAAATCAGTTGGATTCCTATACACCAATAAAGAGAAAGATGAAAAGGAAATCAGGAAAGCAATACCATTTATAATAGCTCTTAAAAAAATAAAATACTTAGGAATAAATTTAATCAGGGATGAAAAGAACTATACGAAGAAAACTAGAAAACACTACTGCAAGAAACCAAAAGAGATCTATGTGAATGGAAGAAGGTACCATGCTCATGGATAGGTAGACTCAACATTTTGAAAATGACAGTACTGCCCAAAGCAATTTACAAATACAGTGCAATCCAGATCCAAATACTAACAACATTCTTTAAAGAGATGGAAAAACTAATCATTAACTTTATATGGAAAGGGAAGAAGCCCTGGATAAGTAAAGCACTATTGAAGAAAAAGAATAAAGTAGGAGGACTCACACTGCCTGACCTCAGAACCTACCAGACAGCTACAGTAGTCAAAACAGCCTGGTACTGGTACAACAACAGATACATTGACCAATGGAACAGAATCGAGAACCTAGATGTAAATCCATCCACCTGCGGTCACCTGATCTTCGACAAGGGCCCAAAGTCCATCACATGGGGAAAAGACAGTCTTTTAAACAAACGGTGCTGGCGAAACTGTATGTCCATCTGCAAAAAAATGAAACAGGACCCATACCTCACAACATAATACAAAAACTAATTCAAAAGGGATCAAAGACCTAAATAGAAAGCCCAAAACTGTAAAGTTCATTGAATAAAAAATAGGAGTAGTGCTAGAACCCCTATACATGGCATTAACAGGATACAAACCATAACCAACAATACGCACACTCCAGAAGATAAGCTAGATAACTGGGATCTTCTAAAAATTAAAAACTTACCAAAAGACTTCACCAAAAGAGTTAAAAGAGAACCTACAGACTGGGAAAAAAAATTTTGTCTATTACAAATCGGACAAAGGTCTAATCTCTAAAATCTACAACAAAATCCAGCACCTCTACAACAAAAAGACAAATAATCCAATTACAAAATGGGCAAAGGAAATGAACAGGCACTTCACCAAAGAAGACTTATTCAGGTGGCCAACAGACACATGAGGAAATGCTTGTGATTACTAGCCATTAGAGAAATGCTAATCAAAACCACAATGAGATACCATCTCGCTCCAGCATTACTGGCACGAATCAAAAAACAGGAAATAACAAACGTAGAGGCTGCGGGGAGATCGGAACTCTTAAGCACTGTTGGTGGGAATGCAAAATGATACAGCCATTTTGGAAAACGATATGGCGTTTCCTTTGAAAGCTAGAAATAGAAATACCATATGATCCAGCAATCCTACTCATAGGAATATATCCCAGAGAAATAAGAGTCATCACACGAATGGACATATGCACACCCATGTTCATTGCAGCATTATTCACAGTAGCAAAAAGATGGAAACAACCTAGATGCCCATCAGCAGATGACTGGATAAACAAAGTGTGGTACATACAGTGTAGTACTACAAAAGGATAAAGAACCATGATGAATCTGTGAAGCGTATCATAACATGGATTAGTTTGGAGGACATTATGCTGACTGAAATAAGTCAGTCACAAAAGGACAAATACTGTATGAGACCACTACTATAAAAACACATGAAAAGGTTTACACACAAAAAGAAACAATCTTTGATGGATTTGAGGGAGGGGAGGGGTGGGGTGGAGATGAAAGAAAGCTAAACAGACAATAGGTAAGTGATAACTTTGGTGAAGGGTAAGACAGTACACAATACTGGGGAAGCCAGTACAACATGTACAAGGCAAGGTCATGGAAGCTCTATAGACATATCCAAACTCCCTGAGGGACCGAATTGCTGGGCTGATGGCTGTGGGGACAATAGTCTCTGGGAATATCTAGTTCAATTGGCATAACATAGTTTATAAAGAAAATGTTCTACATTCTACTTTGGTGAGTAGTGTCTGGGGTCTTAAAAGCCTGTGAGCAGCCATCTAAGATATCCACTGGTCTCACCCTTTTGGGAGCAAGGGAGAATGAAGAAAACTAAAGATACAAGGGAAAGATTAGTCCAAAGGACTAATCTACCACATCTACCATGGCCACCACCAGACTGAGTCCAGTACAGCTAGATGGTGCCCAGCTACTACCACT